GGCCTGAGGCAGGGTTTGTTGAGATGAGGGCCGGCTTAGCTTAGAATTTCTGACCCTGGGGAAGAGGAAAGGGGTCGTGGTCACTGCTGTCTACAGCATGCTCTGTAGGTTGACTTGACCTTGGCATTGGCCTGCCGGTGTGTGGCTTAGCCTGCCCCTGTATGGGCTGGAGGGCGGCTCTGTGGTGTGAGCCCGGTTCTGAGCCCGAGATCAAAGAAGGGGGTGCAATAACTAGAAGCAGATCTTTCCTGGCCTTTCAACTCAGGCGCCTGTGAGCCAGGCAGACAGGTGGCTTGTGCCCAGCCCTGCTTCCCCTCATAGACTCCACCGGTCTGATTCCAGGTACGAAAATCTTGTTGTCGCTTTGGCTGAAAACACAAGTCCCACCAGCGCTGACCACCAACAGCTCACACGTATGTCCCTGTGCCTCTCTAGCTCAGGCAGACGCTGCCTCTGCTGTGTGCTTTCTTGTTCCCACCTCCCACCATGGCTGTTGGGTCCCTCTCTGCCACTGACATGTGCACAATGTCACTGCCCTGCCCACTTCTCAAGAAGCCAGACCCTGGCCCTGCCACTCTTTTACCACTAGTCCTTCAAAGCTGTGACGGGAGCGGGACGTGGGATGGTGTTGCAGGGGCCGCTCGGCTGATAAGTGACACTGCCCAGCGGGTGCACACCATCGCTCAGAGGCAGCGGAACGACCAGCACCTGCGGCGTGTGCAGGCTCTGCTCAGTGGACGCCAGGCAAAGGGGCTCACCTCAGGTAGTCTGTCCTGCCCCTCAACCCTCAACCGCCCCTTTCCTCCTCTTTGTGTTAGCCTCCTGGGGCCGCCGTAACAGAGTACCACTAACTGGGCCCTTGTCCTAAAACAAGAGAAATTTATTCTCTCAGTGTCTTGGAGGCTACAGGTCAGGAATACCATCAGCAGGGCCGCGGTCCCCGAAAGCTCCGGGAAGAATCGTCACTTCTTCCAGCTTCTCGTGAGCCCGGTGGTCCTTGGCTGGAGACGCGTCACTCCAGTCTCTGCCCCAGGCTTCACAGGGCCTGTCTCTTCCCACGAGGACACTGATTCAATTCATGGCCCACTCTAACTCACCCTGAACAAACCTCACTGCCGTCGGGTCAACTCCGACTCACGGTGACCCGACACCAGGATGCCTTAAGCTTGAGGGCCTCCACCTGCGCGGCCCGTGTTTCTGGATAAGGTCACTGTGAGGTTCCAGTGGACGTGATGCTCTGGGGGATACCATTCAGCCCACTGTGTGGATCCAGCAGACACAGCCCCGTTTGCCCACTGCTCTGTCCCCCTGGGTCACGGTCCCGGAGCCGCACGGTGACCACTGCCCCACACCCCCAGGGCGCTGGTTCCTCCGGCAGGGCTGGCTGCTGGTGGTGCCTCCCCGAGGGAAGCCTCGCGCCCGCATGTTCTTCCTCTTCACTGATGTCCTCCTGATGGCCAAGCCGCGGCCCCCGCTGCACCTGCCACAGAGTGGCACCTTCGCCTGCCGGGCCCTCTACCCCATGGCCCAGTGTCAACTCCACAGGGTCTTTGGCCACTCAGGAGGCCCTTGTGGTGGCGTGCTCAGTGTAAGTACTAGGAGGGGACCCTACGGGAGTAGCTAGGGCTTGGGCTTAATGCCTAGTTCTTATTTCATCCCTGAATGACCTTCACGGAAGCACAAAGGCTCTGGCTTTAGCCTGGAACTTTTCAAGTCATGCACTAAGCAGTGTCTCTCCCTAGCTGTCCTTCCCCCAAGAGAAGCTACTGCTCATGTCCACAGACCAGGAGGAGCTGTCACGCTGGTACCACAGTCTGACTTTGGCCATTGGGTAAGTAAGTTGTGTCAGGAAGAGTGCCCTGAGGCCTGTGAGGCTCCAAGTCCTTGGCTGCACGTGAGCAGTTGTGAGGCTGTCTCCTGTCTGCCTCTGGGACCTCCCGGCCCTGAGGGTGCTTCTGTGCGAGCAGGGTGCTCTCCGGCTGTGCCTCAACCGTCTCCTCTCCACAGCAGCCAGAAGAACTGAATCCCCGATTCTAGAAACCAGAATACCTCACGGATAGGCCAGCGCCAAGAGTGCAAAGGCATCTGCTTACTAAACACAGAACCCTTCATGGTTCCAAAGGGTTGTTTGCCTGGTACCAAGGACCGGCTCTTTATCAGGATACCAAGTCTCACCTGACTGGACCTCAGCTGAACCAGCCGTCCACACAAATGAAGGGATTTGGGGCAGATATGCTCAGTGCTAAGGAGCCCTGACGCCCCAGTGGTCAAAGCGCTTGGCTGTGAACTGAAAGGTCCGCGGTTTAAACCCACCAGTGGTTCTGCAGGACAGATGTGGCAGTCTGCTCCCATGAAGACTTACAGCCTTGGAAACCCTATGGGCCAGTTCTACTCTCTTCTATAGGTCGCTACGAGTCAGAATGGACGGCAGTGGGCTTGGTTTTTCAGCTCGGTCCTGCCCTGTGTCTACAGCCAGCTGTTGTCAGTGTTTCTGCTTTGTAAACATGCCAGGTTTATGCTGTATAGCGTCTCTGTAATTTATTTTCCCACTGGATTTAATAAAAAGAAAAATTTTGAAAGGCCTTTCTCGGTTATTTTAAACGAGAAGGATGTTTGTGCCCCGAAGGCTGGCATGATGGTGGCCTGAGAACTCCAAGGAAAAGAACTGCAGCCCCCCCGCCTCTGACTTCACCCGGGAGGGCGGCCTCGTTTTGTCCTAATAAGGGAAGCTTTGCTCTGAGGCCCACTGGGCCCTAGGCACCTCGAGTGGGCGTGTGGCCAAGCGGCTGGGGCGGGCAGCACGCAGCAGCTCCGGGCCCCGACAACAGCCGCGCCTGCCCTGAACCTGCAGCTGCCTCTGCTTCCCCTCGGCCACAGCCCTGCCGCTCCGCCTTCTGAGGCCCTGCTCCGCTTCCCACGCAGCAGCTGGGCTCCACGTCTCTGCGTTCGGGCTTCCGGCCTCCGCACCCGCGTCCTCAGGGAAGCGCACCCCGGCCTCTGTGCGGGGAAAGATGAAGCGTGTTCCGGACCCAGGCCTCCCCTTCCACCTGCGCCAGGCCCGCGCCTCCAGCCCCCAGCTGGCTCCGGCTCCTCCACAGCCTCACCCGGCTTGTTCTCTCGGAGCAGCTGGTGGATGGTCTGCACCTTTGTGTTCAGA